GCATAGACTAGAATCATTTATTATTTTATAATAATATATGGCTTCGGATATTAAAACTAAAAACGGTAAATATTTACCGGGAACATTTTCCGCGAACATGGCTTCGGTGATTTTCAAATCGTCCGCAGACTGATTGTTTCGATTGTTGGATCTGTACAGGGCCGTGAGATACATATACGTGGGTTTCGGCATATAACGATTTTCATCGACTTCGACGCCTTGTACTTCGCCTCGACGACCCTCTATCAACCAATGCGATGTGGGCAGATTATATTTCAATACGTTAATGTACGTGTAATGAGAGAGCGTTTTGTGATTTCTCATTATAAGCGTATCGTTCAAATGATTGGGTTTTGTCAAATTGTTTATAAAAATGGCGGCTGTTATTGCGTTTCCTCGGTGACCGAGTGATTCGTCAGTAGACATACCACCGACAAGAGCTATTTTTTTATTAAAATCGTCATCGACGCATCTCATTTGTTTGTTGAGCGTATAATTGTAATTGGAAAATGACTTTATTATATCGTAAGACGATGTATTTTTAGAATGTTTGGATGTCAGTATACAACCCAATTGGTCGCGATCGCCGCAAAAAATCATATTTAACTTATGCAATTTGCCGCACAACAGAGTCGCGTACAGTAATAATTTGTTCATGACCGTGTACTCGTCAAACATCAATATATTCCCAACAAGATTCATCTTTTGATCTCTATGTGTTTTGAAAATTCTCACAATTTGTAATATATTGTTTATAACGCACTCGACGCTGTTCATTCTATTTGTGATCTTGTCCAAAGACGCGTATTGGCGAAACTTCAAATTCAACGAATACATAAAAAACTGAGCGCACGTAAGTCCGGCCGCACAATATTTATAAGACGATATCAGAGAATTTTTAAAAATTATAACGTGCGGTAAATTTTCACCATCGCGCATCAGCGTGTGCGATATCGTTTTCAACGTATAACTCTTGCCCGTACCCGGTGCCGCTTGTATTAGTAAAATTTTTCCATTTTTGTTTTTATTATCGTAATTGTTCATGTCCGAAATGACGCGATCGAAAATCACTTTTTGTCGCGGATCGAGTTTGTTTTCGTTAAAATTTTCCCTTTCTCTCGACGCGGAAGCGGCTCCTATTCCAAAAACTTCTCGTTTGGCGTTGCTTTCGGTGTTTGGTATGAATATATCAACACCGCTTGCAGTTTTTAACGATATTATATTGAGATTCATGTAGTTAATATACTCATCGCTAGTGCGCAAATCGCGAGCAACATCTGTTGATAAAACATCTTCCCAATTCAAATTTAAGTATTCGTCGTTTTTGTAAATATCCTTTTCCATACGAAAACAATTAGGAGCTTCTTCTTCTGAAAAAATAGTAATATAAAAAGTAATATAAAATTTAAAAAAAAAGTTATTATATATATATTAATTAATAATAACCATCAAAAGATGATTTTGACGGAGACGAAACTGGTGGTTGCTGTCGTGATGTTGGTTGTAATTGTGTGTTCCGGTAGGCTACGAATCCTCCGTTAAGAGTATCGATCAGATTCATGTTTGATTCATGAATGCGGCACCAACGTCTTGAGATTCGGTGTTAAAAAACGTTTGGCGGTGAAATCAGTTGTATATGTTTTCAATGAAATCGCGACCGAACGAGCCGAGGTGATCGAATAGTTTGGCAGAAACCGTTTCCGTTAGCGACATACGCGATAATGCTGCCAGTTTGATTAAAACGAACAAACACATCACCGTAAACACGTAGAACCCACAAGCCAAAGCGATGACCAACGGCTGTTGCGTGAAACGCGCTCGTGATGAATTTATTCGTGATCACTCGTTTCAAATAATTTTCATTGTATTCGCGATACTGCCTGCTATTGAAATGATAATGTTTTGCTGTATTTTGAGTGTACGACTCTTCCAACATTTTTTGCGATTCGGTGCTTTCTTCGAAATACACGGGATCTTCTTTGTCGATTATGCTGCCTTCGCTGTTAACCACCAACGCGTTTAGATAGATCAATTGATTCGTCAATCTGCTCATTGTTATTTCGAGTATTTCCTGTTTGGTCAATAACTTTGAGCATAACATTTCGAAGGTAAACTGAGCATAAGATTCACCCATCTCGGCGCGCAACGCTCGTTCGGCTTTTTGCGTCATATTGGCAGGCAATTCACTTGGAAACATGTTGTTGTAGCCAAAAGGATCCCATATGGACAGAATCACGCCTAGTATGTTTACGACTATTAATATCCATCCGACTACACTAACGGCCAATGCCGTCAATTTGGCCAAAGCTATTGCCATTTTGGTGGCACTCTGTATTAAAACTTTTACTATAGATAAACGACACAGGTTCATAATCGAAGCCTGCAGACACTTTATTGGAAATGCTTTGGCTATAATCATGCCTATATTTTTTTTCAACAACTTTGACAGATTTTGCGCCAACGATTTAAGCATTTTTTTAATTTTCGTTTCGGCGTATTGGTACGCTAAATTTATGCCCAGACTAACGAGACCCTCTTTCGAGAATAATATATCGCCGAGATTCGCTACGATGTGGTCTATAGCGTCCATCGCTGTTTTAATAGCGTCTTTAGAATTCGAGTTTTTTACATCATCGTCATTATCGTTATTACTTGCGTTACCACTCGGTGCTTTACCGACCATTCGTTTTGCTCGATTTTCCGATATTTTCTGTTTGGCGTACAACACTCGATTTTTTAACCCATCATCATCATCTTCGTCGTATATCATTAACTTTGGTAACGAGAACGATTCGTTAATATCGCGCTTCCAATACCCGAGAGTGTCTTTTTCATCCAATGTATCGGGTATTTCTGGTAAATCTGGCACGTCGAACATAAATTTTTTCGTATCTATCTTCCTCACCACCGATTTTACCGAATTTATAAAAGACATGCCCACTACGGCGTTCAATCTCTTTTCCCACCATTTATACGAGCAATCACCATTATCGTCAAGAGTGCGATCATAATACTTGCAATATGTAGTATTGTTTTTATACGACCATCCGCAACCGAATTCACTCTCGGTGTCGTTTATTCGGGTAAAACCCGTCGGTATATCGTTTACTCGATTTTCGTAGACGGTGATGCTCCGATAAAACGGTTTTTCCAAATAATTTGTCATAAAGTCCGGCATAGTTATGCATTTGTTTTTATGATATCTCAGTTGCGGCGTGTCGACAGATCGCGTGTTGTCCTGAGAGTATGTGGGATCGACGTTTGTATTGAAATAGGCCGGCTGACATACTGTATCGTATTCTTTTCCATCACCCACGCGAACGTAATGGGTTTTAGTTTCGGGCATACAAAATCCAGAAGCCGTATATTTGTTACATGATAATTTATCGCACAATTTCTCACTAATATCGACATCTATTATTTTACATTTATCTCTGAGCGTTCTCGGTATATAATAATTCTCCGACGTAGCGTCTCGGACAGTGTATGTCGCGTGGCTCATTAGACGAGGATATTTTTTGTACATTAATTCCATCATACGTACACGAGTGTTGTAGTTCGATAAAAATTTTCTCGCGTTATCCATATCCACTTCGGTATAACTACCCATTATAATGGAATACGTGGAAAGTGTTTTACAAAATTATAAAAGTAATAACCGAGTACTATGTATAGATGGAACTTCTTGTTGTAAAAAGTCGACTATATGTAAACGATTGTTGGAAATGCATCCTATTTTAAAACTCGACAATTGTAGCGACGAACGCGTTGGAAACATGAAAATCATGAAGGTGCAAGTTACCAGAAACATAATACGCCCGAATACTCATTTTTTATCTAATTATGGTTATATATCTGGTGGAATTTTGGATATAAATCATTCGAATACGATAATGGTCAATGCGCAAATGATTTATAACAATAACAAAATACAAAATGTATTTTCGATGAATCCATGTTCTTTTACCATGATTATGGATAGATCTCCGCTGAACGTCGAGGAGTGGAGACTCTTGTGGATAATGCTTGACGATTTTAAAAACTCGTACGGCGAGATTGCCGTGGACGAGAAACGTCATAGTGTATTTTTAATGAAATTCGATTACGCGTTTGCCGCTCTGCGTCGTTGTACTTGGTACAGATTATTCCGCGGACAAATCAATTGTTTGGCTATTATAAACAGCGACGTCGAAGCTTGCGATGAATTGCGACAGTCGCGTGGCGATGGTTCAGATGTTCAACGATCATCATGGAAATCGTATACATATCTTCAGAATCGTATGTATAGAGAATTGTATAGAGCTCTCACCGAAGTTGAATTAAAAAAATTTCCATTTAATCGTAAAATAGACGGTGATGTTTCTTATTTGCATCATGATTGTTATATCGATTTGTCAAAAATATCGAATAAACAATTGTCTCCGGATCACAATCAGATACAAACAAATACTATGGTTTATAATCTGCAAAAATTTTTGTATATGAACAAAAATTTCGTCGATATAGACTTTCGTATTGTAAAGAACTACGACAATCGTAGATTTTATTTACCAACGCCATCGTCCATGTCGTACACGGATCCCGTCGAAGCAAATTACAATGAGCACGTGTACAGAGAGGCAGGAAGGATGCTTGTTCGTGATTTAAAATTTAAGGAGAATTTTAAAAATCCAGAGAAGGAAGCGTATCGCCGAGCCATGGAAAACCGATCGTATCTTAAAATCGCAACAGACTACAAAAATGATATTAATGATGACGACTTTGACCAACCTAGTACTAAAAAATGTAAAAAGATTTAAGATTTTTGTAAAAATATTGAATAAAAACTTGTTTTGATTTATTTAAAGTGTATATTTCTTATAAATAGTAATGACATTTTTACAAACATCACAATGAGTGTCGAAAACGATGATTTTAACAATCAGTCGTATAACAGTTCAAATTTATGTTCTAGTGAGGGTTGGATTAATAAAACTGTAGAATATTTAAAAAATGATTTAAGAACTATAGAAAATAATATTATAAGCGATACGAATATTCATGATTTTATTACATTTTGCAATTATATCAATATCATGGTGAGGAATAGCGTTGAATTGGATTTTCGTATAAAAAAATTGTACGACGCGATTAAGAATAATGTTGAAAAACGAGTGGGTTTTAATAGAGACGTATTCAACGAGCGTAGCGTCATGTATTCGCCGGAAATTGTTCAGAATATATTTGCTATAAAGACAGAATCGTTTAGAAATATAAATCAAAACGATACGGAATTTAATTATGTAAAGAGTGCGATCCGTAGGATATATCCCGATTATACGATATCGTCTAAAATTAAAATTTTATACACTAGTATTTTGGAGTACAAACGATTTGTAAACGTACAAAGAAGATATATAAATATTAAATTAAAATACGAACAGTTATTGAATCATTATAAAAATTATTTCAAATATTACTTGAATCTTATAGACGAAACTAATATCGATAATAATACATCCAGATATTTACAAAAATATGGTATATTTGTAAATAAAAAAATCAAATACCGATCCTAATATTTATTACGACAGAGGATCGAACATGATTAAAGAGGTGCAAAACTATTCGTTCAAAGTGCGGAAATTTATAAAAGATATCGTACGCAATTTCGTCTCGAGAAATCCGAATCCAGACGAATCCGTGTACGCTCGTATAGAAGACCTAAACGAACTGATGAAGAAAAATTTAAAATTACTCGATCGGTGGGTGACCGAGAGGACAAACGAGATAAACGAGATATTCGAATATCTCGATAATTATTTCGTAGTTTACAACAAGCTCTTTAAATTGGAGATAGACAAACGTATAAATGAAAATTCTACTAAAAATAAATATTCGAAAATGAAACGATCGATGTCTATTAAAATCACGATACAAAGACAGACCAACAATCTTAAAATTATATCACAGAATATACGCAATTGCGTTCAAAAAATCAACAAACACATTATGTTGATTGCTAAAAATTATATATAAGCGTCAATGGTAAATTATACAATTTTAACAGAATATCCGAAAAATCGAATCAAATTAACAATTCCGATGTTGGTGGTCTGCAAGACCTGCTGAACAGGATAGATATACCAGAAGTCGCTGAGAGAAACGATGATTTCGATGTTTTAGATGTTGAAAATTGACGAAACAACATACATCTGGATAATGCTTTTGGGAATTTTAATATAATGAATGAAGATGGTATTAATTTGGAAGTCAATAAGAATCAGTTGTGAAACGAAGAAGTGATATTGATGATTTTCGACGATCAAGAAAATCCCGAACGAGCCGGCGGCGACGCAACCGCAGTGGAAAGACAACGCGTCGACCGCGGTCAGATAAACGGCGAACAAGCAGGAGCAGCATCAGCATCATCATCATCGGCAGCAGCAACAACAACAATGGCTATGGAGATTGATAATAATTATGATGATGATGATGATGAAAGATCAATGAGAACGATTCCGTCAAAAAAAAAAAATCTAACTAACGATCCGGTAATTGACGATGGTAATGGCAATATAGATCCTAAGTTTGATAATATTATTAAAAAAATTTTATAATGTTAGTAAAGAAGTTTTAAATAAAATATTAAATACCGACGATAACGAATATAAGAGAATAAATGAAAAATTCATCAATTTGGATCATAAATTGAAAACTCTTATTAATAAAAATAAAAAATTGGAAAACGAATTAGCCACCGTAAATTCAAACATCGATGAAATCCACAACTCTAGAGTCGCTCAGTATTTAAAAATCATAAATAATTTAGAAACTAACAAAAAAGAACTGTCGGAGGATAAAAACAAGCTGATGGTTGAGCAACAGAAATTAATGATTGAAATGACTGATTTAAAAAAAAAAAATCAAACAGCTGGAATATCTGTTAGAACATCAAAACCAAGAAAACAGAAAAGATGCTCTCGTAAAAGAAACATCGACTGATTCGGTGGAAAAATACGAAATACAAAAAATGAAAGAAGAAATAAGAAATAAGTAATAAAGAACACCAAATCAAAGAATATGAATATGAAATCGCAAAATGTGAAAATAAAATTACAAAATACGAAAATAAAATTAAAGAATACGAGAAAGAAATTGTAAAATACAAAAACGATATCGAACAATATAAAATTAATGAAGTATGTTATAAAGGAAATGTCGATGCGTTGAATAATAAAATGAACGAGTTAAACATTGATTTACGATATAAAGACTCCGTTATAGACAAACAGGAATCGGAAATATTGAAAAGTAAAAGCGATATAAATAAAAAAGAAGAATACATACACGAGATTGACTTTAAATACAAAAAATTACAATCCATGTATGATGATAAAAATAAAGAATACAGCAACGATGTTAATGTGTTGAAAATCGTGCACAAAAAATACAACGACGAGTTGAAACACGAATTTAGTATAAATATGGATAAAATAATCAATAGAAATCCGAATGAAACTTTGATGAATTTAAATTCTCTCAGAAATATAATTATTAACAATATCAAAACGAATGGTGATGGTATTTTAAAATTAATAGAAGAATTGCGAACGTTGAATCAAAACATCGAACGAACGACATCCATTACTAATGTTTATGATGATGATGTACAAATTAATCAATCATCAATAGCACAGACCACCAAAAGCTTTTACGAAAATTTCGCTCAAGAAGCAATGAGAACGCCAGAATCGAAAGCAGAAGCATTCGTAAACTTAGCGACGACGACGGCGTCAGAAAACCCAGAAATCTCGTCGATATCGTTACCAGAAAAACCGGGATTAGTAGAATTTTTCGAATCGACGATTGATACTATGATCGACACTCCCGAAACAACTACCGATACAAGCGATTCGATCATGTACGTGAATAAATCGATTGCCGCTGATGCGTCGAATGTAAGCAACGATGCGTCGAATATGAATTTGGATACATCATCAGCGTCTCGTACCACTGATTCATCGAACGTTATCCTGAACGAGCCGGCGGCGACGCAACCGCAGTGGAAAGACAACGCGTCGACCGCGGTCAGATAAACGGCGAACAAGCAGGAGCAGCATCAGCATCATCATCATCGGCAGCAGCAACAACATCAATGGCTATGGAGATTGATAATAATTATGATGATGATGATGAAAAATCGATGAGAACGATTCCGTAAAAAAAAAAAATCTAACTAACGATCCGACGATTGACGATGGTGATGGAAATCTAAATCCATAGTTTGATGATATTATTAAAAATTTTTATAATGTTAGTAAATAAGTTTTAAATAAAATATTACAAACCGACAATAACGAATATGTGAGAATAAATGAAAAATTCATCAATTTGGATTAACAATTGAAAATTATGTAACGTCCCCTCTTCACATGCGTGTTGCGACGCTCTCGCGTCTTCTTACCGATAAAGTTATGTTTTGATTAACGAGGTCTTGGGGACTCGACCTCGGTGTGTAATATTAATATACTAGATCAGGGTTACCTTATTTAAGTAAAGCACAATTGTATAAAATGTAACGTATATTTAACAGATAATTTAAGATTTATATAATAGAATGAAGGTTACCGATCCGGGTAGATTGACAAGCCGTGAGTGTGGATGGTGGATGGCTGCACGGAACGTTGAGGAGTCTTCTGGTCGTCTGTCTGCTCCTGGTGTCGCACACACTCTCCTACACTAAACGTATTCGTCCTTGTTATATACCTTAAACTGCTGCCTAAAAGCCTTAGGTCAGCAGTCGGCCCCGCTTGCCATTCCTCATACTCAGCGTTTTAACAACGTGTGCCCTACTTAAGGAATAATGTACGATGTCGATAGACGACAATCGTTACAATTCTTATTAATAAAAATAAAAAATTGGAAAACGAATTACCAGCACCGACATCGTCGAAAGAAATTACAGCACCATCTGCGCAATTGGCATCTATAATACCAGCACCGACATCGTCGAAAGAGTCGGTAATGATTAATAATGTGATTTATATAAATGAAGACGAGGATCGTGTAAAAAACAATATATCACCATTGACTTATGATATTTACAATCAATGCAAATACAAAAGTCATTCTCATATTGTATATTTCACCGCAAGTATAAATTTTATTATCGATATTTTAAATTACAAATTAAATCTCACTGAGAGTACGGAAATAACGTCTAATGCTTTAAATCTCACAAAGAACAAGAGCATAAAGTCTAATGCTATGATAGACAAGCTGTTTAGTGAGAAAAAATATGGTATTTTGATATTGTACTATCAGCTGTTGATTGTGAACGAAGAATTGTCCATTAGAAATCTGTCTTTAACTAAATCCACCGTGACGATCAAATCCAGCAAAGTCACGGATTATACAATACCGACTCTCGAAATCAATTACGGCGTTAAAGAATTGATAAAGTATAATGTATTTCCGGATGATTTTACGAAAAGAAATAAGATAACCGTTAAAAAGGGTGAAATAAAATCGAGTACGAATTTAAAATCACCGAAAAACGAAAAAAATGAAATAAAAGTCAATAATTTTCCTTACGACATATTAAAGTTTCACGATGCAAATTATAAAAATCAATCTTTCGAGCTCAACGAAGCGGCAATGCATATTTACAAAAAAATATTCGAAGTTTATTTAACATCGACTTTTGATTTTGATTGTTTTACCGCTTTATACAAAAAATACCATACTGAAATGAGTGATGCCGACAAAACACTACTCGCCAAGTCTTTCGGTGTAGACTTCTTTTATCTGATGTTTTGCGATCCCATACGTGGTATGTCGTATAATTTTAAAGTATCACCGATGCCGATGGTCATTCCTTTGGAATTTATATACTTTCATTTGAGCTTCAATTACTCTGCGTCGATGAACAATTTAAAATATTACAATTACGATGCCAATAACAAATACATGAACAATAAAATATTGATTTTGTTCATAATAAAGAGCGAAAACATACATTGGAATTCTCGAGACAGTATAAAGAGCAGCATCGATCGAATGTTTAAAAACGAATTACTCAGAATAAAAGACAATAATTTAGTGGAGGTGTATCGAGAGGATCTGGGATATTTGGGAAAATTGAATATATTGATAAATTCGTTATCCATATATTCGTTTTTGGATAAAAAAATATACGAAGATTTATATATGACTGTTATCGATTATTATTCTGAATAAAAGTATGTCTACAACAACTCTTTGTGTATTTTTCGCAACACAACATTACATATTCTTACCGAAAGCATTCGCAGACGGGAATAAAGCCGAAATACTGAATCATAATTTTAATAATATAGTAAACAAAAAAATTTGGTAGCGTTTACGTTATACAAGACGACACTGTAGTAGTGATAGATCGTCTAGTAGCGAACGAAAGTGCTTTGGTTATCGATAAATTATTAGATTTTTTCAAGTATTTGAAATACGGATACAAAAAAAACGACGGGTTGTATGATAAAATAATAGCATACGTTCCAAAATTGTCGGAACATCATGTGACTAATGCACATCTTACAAAACAAATGATAATAAACGATATAGATGTATATATAGTATAATTTTATTTTTAATTTATCATACATATTTATAAATTTCATTTTTTCCATTAATTACAAAGTGAGAATACGCAAAAGAAGGCATCGATCCCGTATTGAACACATCGTTAAAGTTGTGTTTTTTGAATAAATCACGCATCATTTCCCATTTTCCAGAATATTCCATATTGTCGACTCGGATCGGATATATCGTACACTCGTTCACCAACACACCCACGATGATTAGGCTTTTGACGCAGGAAAAATGTTCGATAATCGAGTGTTCACTGACTCTGGTCATGTATCCTTTGAACGCCACCTTATCATTGGTCGCCGCAAACCACACTTGCTTGGAACCGGGCGGAAGTCGAAACCAATACACGCCGTTGTACGCGTGTGTTTTGGACGAAACTTTTACAATCCGATCTATAGTGTATTTAAATATATTAGAGTTTAATCGTCGACAATCGTTGATTATGGAACACGATCTCTTGTAAGATGCCATAGCGTATAGACTTTCTACGATTCTCGGATGATGTCCGACGACGTACAGCGATATGAAATATTCCGGAGTGATGTCTTTGTTGCCGAGAAAACGTATGAATCCAATGAATTTATCAAAAGTGTATAAATCCTTTCCCATAACGCGTTCCACACTCTTCAATCCCCATTGTCTATCGATAGCAATGTCGAAAGGCAGTTTAACCTTATTGCCGCTACACTTCAATAGTATTTCCTCAAAAGTATCGAGTTCCTTTATACAATTAAAGTCGTGCGCAAAAAGATAGTATTGGTTATACGCCATATAACTAGCGAAATTGACCAAAAGTAGACTTATGCCCAAATCTTTCGTGAATATTTCCAAATTGTTATAATAATTTCTAGCCATACGATACAGATCATCTTTCAATACGTATCCTTCTATAACGGATGCGTGATTGTTGTGTGCTTTTATACAAGACAGACCGTTTTCTTCCTCCAAACTAACAACCTTCTCGAAGTCTATTTTATTTTCTCGATAAGAGAGTATGTTATATACAAAAACTTGTTCCGCCGGTAATAGGTTTAAAAATCGTATTTCTGCCATTATTGTATGTATGTGTATATGTGCTAAAATAAAACTAATCGTCGCTACGAACCTTCTTTGTATACTAAATTCGTATTCTCATTTCATGCTGTATTTATAAATCATAGTGTCGTCGGTGTTGTTGAACATTGTCTGTATGATCTGGTCGGCGCACACCGCGTCGTCCAGCGACGATAATCCCTCGCCGCACGTAACCAATTCTCGGATATCTGTGGTCTTCAAATCGAACGACGCCGATTTATGAGCGTAATTTATACGTTCTATTATTTTCGATTGAAACGAATTGGCGTCTAAATCTTCAAAATATTTATAAACACAAGATATATCCAAACACGGATCTCCTTTTAGTTTGGCAAACCAATAGTACACGTAATTCTGAGCAATAAGATAATTCGCCTCTTTTGAATTATACGAGTCGTTATTGATCACGCTTTCCGGGTCGCACGAGTTAATCGACAGAGCTCGATGCAGAATGCCGACTGATAGAAACAATATGTCGCGACACGTCAAAACTAGAATCAATTCTCGTTCTCGGTTCTCGTGATATTCCAATATTTCGCACAAATTATTACGCGTGGCGAAATTGTTGAGCACACCAAAGACTTCAAACTCGTTGTCGGTCGGTATGGTCAATCCGCGCGACGAATAATGATGCACCAACTGATGTATGTACTGCCAACGCAAGTTGGAATAACGATCGCGATCCCAACACACGCCAAAACTTTTAGCTTCGTCTTTATACTCGATGATATCTTTAGTCGTTATATATCGTTTTGAATTTATGGGATTGTGATTGTACGAACTTGTGTTGGTTATCAATAGAAATAGGGAGTTTATCTTGAAATATAAACGATTCGATTTTTTAATCAAAGTCGATTTACCCGTTCCACAAGTACCGTCGATACATATAACTCGAGTGTTTTTAAAATCGTATTTTTTAAACACACTATCCAGATATTCGTCTATAGATGAGTATACACTGGGTATAGACAGATCCAATAGATATTTTTCCTCACGCTGACCCTTGCTATAGTAATTCACAGTGTTGTTTCCATGTCGATGATCCACTCTTTGTTGTAAATTTATCCTCTTGTAGGAAATATTTTGCGCCAACACCAACCGTGCGTTTTGCAAATGATTCACTATAGTAAAAAAAATGAAAAATCAAATAACGACAATATTATAGTTTAAAATAGTATACATACTTTTAGGTGGGTATCTCGATCTTCTTTGGAAAAATATTAAATCGAGTGAACGGAACACGCACGCGCGAGAAAGATGATTTCATCAACTGCTGTTAGAAATAAGACAAACTATAATCACGCTAAACAATTTACAAACTACATAGACATGAGAAATGTTAAAATTTACGCTTTGGATTTGGGTACAACCAGTACTGCGGCGGATTCTCGCGAATTGAGCTTCAGAACGTAAAAGAGTTTTATTTATATCGTACCGATACCGGACGGTGTTTCGCCTCTACTGAACGAAGCCACAATGTCTTTTCATAAAAACATCAATAGATTATACGTGTATTCGCGCAACACGCTGCAATCCGACGAATTGGAATTTGTAAAAAGACAATACATCTGTAGTACAAACTATCAATATCCGCAGTTATTTACCGCGAATAACACAAGCCGGCAATCGATCGCCGACGCTTCGTTCGAAAAAATGACGAAACGAATGCTTTTCAAGAGTACTGTAAGATGGAAACGATCAAACGACTAAGCAAACCGTTTCCCATGATAAATTTTCCGCATTGCAACTTTTTTATACGCAACACGGATACCGATCCGAATTATGATTTTTATAATTTCATAGAAATACGCAAGTTTCGACAACGAAACGAACCGGCCTGTGTGATTTACAACTATTCGGAAGACACGACGTCGGCTTTCGTTCCTCCCGATGACTATACCATACCAAAAGTAAAAATCATGCCTAACGATTATTAACCAATCACTAAAAAACACGGTTACTTTTTCGATCCCGTGTGCGGTTTGATATTACATATTTTGAGTAATTATTATTTACTGCACAACTGCGAGAACGCGGCGCAATACGCCAAAGTGTTTGAAATCGAAAATCACGATGATGATGATTCGTCTTTTAACGACATTATGAACAGAATCGGTGAATCTATAAATCAGAGCAATTCGTCGGAAATCGTAGAAACCACGTATCCCGTAGACGTTTGCGTAAACACCGAAAACATATTGGATAATAAATACATGTTGAACTATGTTAAATATATATTTTCTAAAATGGGCTTTTACATCGTGTACGCTATTAATTCTAAAATATTAGTGGCGCGTGACAATTTCTGCACAATAGTGTACGGGGATTATATAGATGTTACGATTTAATTTTTTTTAAATACTAAAGATAGTGTTCTCTTTTAACAAGACTTGTGTAAAAAAAAATCACACATTATATAGAATTGTGGTTGGGTGTATGTATTTATTGTAAAAAAGAAAAACGAACAACCAAAAATCAATATGACCGAACCGATGGATTGTTGCGAGAGTCGAGGTGGTAACGAAGAAAATATGCAAAATTTATTTCAGGACTTGTTGCGAGATCATTATAAAGTCGAGAATAAACAACCCAGTGGAGAGCTGTTTGATATAAGTATAGAGGAATTGAATAATCGCGATGAAATTGTTTTTAATTTACCCATAATACTCGTCAACGTCGACCCAACGAGGGAAGACGAACAATTGAAAAATGTATTCGTTATAAAACGCAACAAACTCGAAGAACTTTATGATTTGAGTCAGATGATCGAAATGGACACCGATAATGTTAAAAATTTAAAAGCAATGTACAATTTTTTTAATCATATACAACAGTGCGAGGCGTCGGACGAAGAGAATCTTAAATTAGCTCTACACTGCATATCACAAATAATAGAAGTCTGTTCGGCGAAGCAGTTGCCCGGTAATTTTATAAACACATCGTCCGAAGTTATCGATTTCGACATGATCCGAACCTACAAATGCAACGAATTGGGAGTATTAGAAGCAAAAGCCTTAGAAAACCTAGATAGGCAATATTACTTTTACCGCACCTCGCACGAGATCCGGGCCTGTTAGCATAAACGAGCTGTCAAACGAAAGTGTCGCGAATCAATTCCCAGTACAACATCAATAAATTCTACCGACGTTGATGTTTAAACCGGCAGACAGGTGACTTACAACAAATATATAAATATATGTACCGTTTTCATGTTATGTATCTATGAACCCATATTGAAATACCTGTTTCCGCGTATATACGACAACATCATAGGCCTCGCTCTGGACTGTCTAATAAGAACCAGAGTCATAAGCATCAGGCCTATCCGTGCACCAGACAACTATTGTTGGAAATAAATATCAACTACAATAAAACAACGAGATCGTAAATTGTGTAAATAGAGAACCACGAGGATCGTTGTAAATACCTAATAGACATACTAAAAATAATAATACTTTAAAAACTATAAACAATTTCAATTATTACGAATATAAGAAATGATAATAAACATATTATAAAAGTAAGAATTATCATTTAATTATGATTTCATAACAACTTTGCCGAAAGCGATTTGGTACACATACGATATTGAAGAAATTTCAAGAATAAAAATAAAGACGTGATCGATCAGATGGAGCAAAATAAACGAGAAAACTTTTGATAATATTTTTATTACACGATATTACAAACAAATACATACATAATACAATTTTATAAATAAATGATGTATAAAATAATTATTATATTTGTTTTACAATTCTTCCAGAATCATCGGTCGTTTTGAATCTCAGCAGTTGATCCTTCATCATTTTCGAACGAAGCTGGCGTTTAAAAGTACGATCTTTCCTAGGCTGACGGATTCTCCGTCTGCAGGCGGTTCAAATTCCGAGACATTGGTATCGGCAGAGTATGCGATGCGCCATCTTGAAGTATCGCAATCGTAACTTTTATAGGTTTTAAATAACTTAATCAATTTTTGTATCAACCTTTTCAATTTGATCGAATTCGAAAATCTTTAAATCCGGATCGTGTTTGTACGTTATTATTTTATTATTATAAAGACAGCGATTTTCACACTGAGCGATTTTCAAAGAATTAAACGGTGTGGCCAAAACATTAAATTTAAATTCGTGTTGTTCGGTACGGATAATTTATATTCAATTCGACTCGCTGCGCATGTAAGCGACCAAACGTCGTTCGCAAAGACCAAAAGCGCAAACGGTATGCATTGGTTTATTATGATAGTATCTGGTCGTGTGCGCTTTTATATTTTCGTCTTGGTTATAATAAGCATTGTATCGGGGTATTTGGACGTATGCGTTATGCGAGTCCATACCGATCTCTATTTTCTGCGGCACCGACCACTTCGGGCCAAAATAAAGTTTGTAATCCTGTATGCGTTCCTCGTACGGTTTTTTCAAGACTTCGCGCAAACCTTTGTGCGACGTTGTTATAACGTCTATCAAAATACGCTGACCATGTCCTACCGCGACTTCGATGATGGCCGTTTCGAGATTTAATTTTATATCGTTCAGAGTCTCGTTGGTTATTTCCTTCTCCAACGCCGGTGTTGGCAATATAAATTTATCCTCTTCCCAGACGCTGTATATATACGAGTTTACATTTAAAAACAAATGTTTCATCTGAGTGACGTTGATCAGGGAATAATCATCCAAAATTACGCGTTCTTTAGATTCTTCAATTTTAAATGGTATGGTGCTGGTCACTATACTCATAAGCGAATGATTTAAATTCATAAAATTATTTCTAATGTAATATAAACCTTGGATATCGTTTTGTGATGCTTTGCTCATCGACACGGCTAAATTATTATAATTTTTAACGTATTCTATTAGTATGCTGCCGCTGTTTAATTTCGTTTGATTCTTCAACCGTCTGTTTGATGTGTTTTGTATAACTTGTTGTTGTTGCAGCTTCTTATCGTCCTTTCTTTTATCCACGTTATTTTCCTTTTTATTAGACAAGAGGACACCATTCGAATAACCATCGGTGTGCGTGAAGTGACGCGAGTATAAAAATTTCAAATGAGTACTCATCACCGTTTTTAAATAACTCGTGGAAAATAAAATCGGTACATTTTTCTGTTCCAGAGCTATGGCCAGATAATTCACCAATTGTAATCTTTCAAAATTACAAAATTCGTTATTCTTCACGACATCGTATTCTTCGTATTTTAAATCCTCGTCGGTGTTTTTTCTAAATTTATTATTACCATCCAGTTTTAATTTATCGATATCCTCGTAAAACCAGGTCGAATTTATTTCGTTTATAGGAATTTCGTTATACTTCATGTCTTTGTTCATTACCAGTTTTAAAAATGTTAAAAACTCAATGACACACGACGCGGCGTTTTTACGTTTTTTAATATGAATTTGATCGCTAGTTCCGTTCTTTTTGATAATTTGATCATTGGTGTTGTTTTAATATTGTCGATGCCGTTGTTCTGGTTGCTCTTTGATTTCCTCTGTTATAAAATACTCTTGATGCCGCGATTAAAATGTATAGAATCCTCGGAACCGGTGCCTATGATTATTGAATTTTCTGAAACAAACATACACATACACATTATATATATACAACATTAATAATTTTACAACATTATAAAATACAAACACGACACACACCTTCTGTTTTGTAATTCGCGTCTTCATCGCTAGTGTATTCTTTGTTAATTAAATTTTCGTCAATTTTCAAATCATCTTCGTCTTCTCCGTCGTCATCGCTATTGTCGGTATTATCTTTTTTCTTACACTCGTCGGGAAATTCATTGTTAAAATCATCCATATTTTCATATACATCATCCGTATCGTTTAGAATATTAATAACTTTAACCGGTGATGATGATGACGACGATGATCGCGGCGGTGTTGTTGGTGGTGTTAAAAACATACCAACAGTGGATTGCGGCGATGGCATTATTCGGCTATCGGCATCATCGACAGCAATATCGGTGTTCATGGTGTTTTTTCCTACTTCTTCTTCTTCAAGACGACGACGATCGTCAATTGTTGGATCTTTCTCGTCAACAATATTGTCGGTTTTAGTTGAAATTACCGTGATCATGGGTTCTTCCGAAGAAACCGATGCCGACACTGATGGTGTCGGCGATGATGATGATGATGGCTGCGATATTATCAGTGAATCGTTTTGTTCTATTTCCATATTTTCGATTTCCGTGGAGGTAATGTTTATGACGTCCGTTTTGTTCATGTTAATAGAAATATCGCCAACTATCGTTGTCGTTATTGTCGTCGCAACTGATTCTGCTGTCGATGCTGCTTCTGCTGCTGTTGATTTGGTGTTTGATTTTTTCGATTTAAAATACGAATGTATATTTTTAAAATTAGACAAGTTTTTGTATTGATGATTGACTCTAGTCATCTATAAGCTATAATCACCCGTCGACGCCTCGAGACAAACTGTCTTGTACGCTTCATCGATGCTAGCAAATAAATAAATTATATGTATGTACGTTTGTCGAATACTTACAATGATTTTATTTGTTAGACGTCTTTAGTGAAATCGAATTTAATAAAAATAGGATGTCTCAATGATTTGTTTACAGTAATTTTGTCGGCACCCAGAACCACGATCCAAATCTTCGATACTATCGTATTTCATACACAAGTCTTTAGCGACCGTCATGTATGCCATATAGAATAAAGCGACAATCGAATAATCTTTATTCCTCTTGTCGGATTCCAAATTGTTTGGTAAATGCATATAAATCTTGTGTAAAATTTGAAAATTTCTAATGTTCAAGTCGCACAACTTTAAATAATCTTCTTTAAGTTCGCCGGTTTTATACTCTTTGATTTTATTATCGTTGAGTTTGAATTCCATAATGTCATCGTTTGACTTTATATTGTTCAATTCCGATTCGTATGAATTGTTCAATGGTACCGGAGGTGGTAAAAAATTACCGTCGGTCGGTGTAGGTTGCGTTGGCAGCGGCGGCAGCAGCTGTTGCTGTTGCTGCTGCTGGTGGTGATTATAATGTGGAATTTGCGTCGAGTTTGGAGTGTACACCGGTGGAACATTATTGTACATTTGTTGTGGATGATATATAGAATTAGCGGATATCTGAGGTGGTTTCTGCTGATAATTCATATGTGGCGACGATTGTTGCTGCTGTTGGGTATAACCATAATTCATAGAAATCTACAATAGATAGAAAGAGTGAAAATTTAGATCAAGAAGAATTGAAAAAAAAAACTTGTATATAATTACCATGTTGGTGTTAATACCATCACCGCTACCATTGTTATTGGTAGGTGCAGTAGGTTGATTCGCGTTACTCATAGTGAATTGGCGCAATAAGATTTACAATTGTATGAAAAGCTTTCAGTAGAATGAGCACCGCACGCTGGAAGAGAATTTATTTTATACTCTAGCTTAAATAGTATATCGCACGAGAGAATCCCTCCTGTAAAAATAAAATATGAAGAACGATCAAGCGTCGTATTCTGAAAAAGACAACGATCGTTATGTCAGATCGGAAAAATTATTACAATCGATAGCTAAATCGGAGCTCGCTTACGATGGTCGCGTGGACATTGTGAATAGATTCAAAGCTAGCGCCGAACAATTTATAACTATAACGAATGTCGGTGACATTAATATAGATGATGATGTCAATTCCGATAAAATAACAGTAAACATCCCGTACTTGCGTTACATGATTTGTGTAAAACGATTTTTGAGAAAACTCGATCGATATTACAAGATAAACATCGAGACTTTTGTCTTTGTCGATGATACCATGTTCGAAGTTGGCGTTTGGGGCAATATTTTCTGGTCGGTGATGCACGCGTCGTCCATATTATCGCAAATAATGTATAAGAATACAAAAGACGCGACTATAATAAATGATTTTGTAAATTTTATTTACAATATCGATTTAATTTTACTGTGTTACACGTGTCGGGAATATTATAAAAAAATTAAAAACGAAAAGCATATATTGGACATCATTAAAGACATGTCTTTCGGTTCTCTGGTGGCCAACACCTATCGTTTTCATTTGTCCAACAGCGAAAACGTGGCGAAGCAATATCCACCAAAAACTATAATAGGTAAAGATAACATATATTCGTCTTGTAATTTCGATTTAATCGCTTTTGCGTACAAGTGGAATTGTTTACCGGTAAATTCTTTAACGACTATTTTGGGAGTCACTGTGATTTGTTCTAAACGTTCTATCCAATTTTTATTGTAAAACAATTCGTTTTTAGTGCCGATAACGTCGAATATGCAATTTTTATAATATTTTACTTGAAACATTTCGTCGCCTACTATTTTATATGCGATGCTGACGTGACTATCGAAATGCAACGGTCCCTCGAAACAATAGTACACTATATCGGGATCAAAACGCATTTGACTTTTAACGTTTTTGGAATCCAATAGACGGTTGTTGGCCAATTCATCTTCCCTAAACGATTTCAGATTGTCTAAAATCAATTTCATGGTTTCCGTAGGGTTTACTTTGAATTGTTCTTGTATTTCTTTACTTTTTTTCGCTTTGTTCCGGAGTTCTACGCCTAGTTTCAAGAATATAGCTATTAGTGCGTTGTACGGTTCGATGCTGGTGTACGCTAGTTTATTGACAGCGGATTGCGCCGTGACGAGATACAAATCATAATCCATACGCGCCAAGATGTATGTGACGTTTTTGTCACATAACAAATTCGCAATGTCCAATATAGAAAAACACATGGTTTTGCGAAAATCTATCGGTAAGTCTTTGTACGATTCGACGTCTACGGATTTCAATTCTTCACTTATGTTGTATATGGATTTTGAACTCAATTCAATGACGTCTTTTACCGATTGGTATTTATCGGCGTGTATGGATATAATTGTTTTTATTGTTATTTCTTTTTTATAGTCGTGTAAACAAAACAGCGCCGTAGCGAGTCTAGCTCCCAACGACGTGCATTTGTACATTTTTACGGGCACCACCGATTGACGTGTTTTGGCTCTATCGTACATAGAAGCTTCGGTTTTGCTCATTTTATTACGAATTACAAACGACTCGTTACTGCTGCAACTGCTGCTCCGACGCGTTTTGTTTTTCTTGCACGCCGATTGCGCGTCGTAATCATCGTCATCTTCGGACAATAGTTTACGTTTCAGATTTAAAACACGTTTTTCTTTGATTAGCTTTTGTGATATGCTGTTTAACAGCGAAACGAACACGATGAATTGTTTTCTCAATGAAATCTCCGAATCATCGGCTTCGCGTATCAACGTTTCTACGTTTTCGGGAACGTCGATGCAACCTTTATAGTTTTTCATGCGTTTGGACGCTCGTAACGTATTGTGATAATCGTTCACTAGTACGTTTTCGATATTATTACGACGTTTTGACGTCGTGACGACGGTCCATTCATTTTCGTTATTCGAAATCGACGAAGCTGTCATTTTTTTGAACGTGTGTCCGCGCGCTATAATTTATGATAAATTGAAATTTCTATATATACCTATATAGTAGCAGAAATTACGGTTTTCCCAAATGCACGCGATGTCGGTGCCGAATTTCGGGAATTTGTCAACTTCAAACTCGCTGACAGGTGATACTATATTAAAAACACCGAATGCGCATGAAACTATTTCGATTGTAAGTTTTTCGAATCCGGCTCAACGCCGTTTGGCGTCGGCGTCGCGATCGATGCGCGCTATAGAACAACAATTTATAAACGAAAATTTGATCATGCGGCAAAGTCATAGCGTGCGGGACGTACGCGAGAAATTAAAGCAACAGTATACTCCGAAAAACCAATGCGGATTTACGATGAAAATTTTGAAATGCGATTGTATACCGAACAATTTAGAATGTGTAAACCCACGTAAAGTCATATCGTTGGCGTGTCTGGACAATATTTTAGACGAGAGTCTGTGTGAAAACGTATCGTTTTTAGAAAAATATTTCAGTAAAACGCCGTTGATGTGCATAAACGCTAGTAGATTGATTTACACGACTCGCGCGTTCGTGTTTAGAAACCGTATAGATTGGGACAACGTTATCGAATCGCTAAACTTTTATTTAAAAGTGGATTCCGGTTATTTAGAAACCGATCGTCGGTCCGATCGGCAACCGAACCTAGAATTTTCAATGTTGTTACATTGTTTACGATCGAGTGGTTATATAGAATATATATTTGAATTGGCTCGTCATTTGAAATATCACGTTGAACTAGTATTGAGCGCCAATCTCAATTTGGTGTACGTGTACAAATACACTGAAGAACAAATCACGTACGGAATATTGACGGCGTTTTATCATGAAACCGAATGGTATGTGTATATATCACATAATAGTATAGTTCGCGATAAACCCAGTGCCATCGATTTATAAATATGTATTTTTTTATTTTGTAAAAAAATAGCGACATCCAGTCTTAACATATTCTACAAGGAGTATTTTTCAAATACAACCGCCGGTGATTATAGAATATTGATGCAGACGAGTTCAAGAGATTTACCGGCACCCAATTTTTTCATCGAACAACGTCAAACCGCCGTCGATGATCCTATGTATCCATCGGCACGTACTACGTTTTTTTTCAATTCGGATCAATGTTTGCACGTTTTTACGACTTCCACGATTCAACTGCGTAGCGGCGACGAATCGGAATCCGTAATAAATGTTTGCGATATTTGTGGTTTTAAAAAAATAAAAAATTAACGTATATTGTATATTTGTTTGTATTCTTTGTACGTGATACCGGGATCCAATTCCTTTAGCGATTGGTATGTCGGTACGATAGATTTTGACGTTAACCGAACCGTATCTATTGTATTCGAACACAATTGCTTCAAGAGTTCGTGAATGGGTATAAAAAATGGATTTAGCGTGTAAGTCAAATTTAAATTTTGTAAAGGTTCCGCGTCATTAGTGTATATGACGTCGGGTTCGAATAATTTTATTTTTTCTACGAATCTGTGTAACGGCGTGTATTGAGTTTTTAACGGAAATTTCCCACGATTGAAATCGCGCCAAATCTGTATCGGTTCGTTGTCGTTGTTCAGTTCGAACAACAAATAACCACCGCAGTATTTGTACAAAATACAACTTTTAATTTGATCGGATTTGATTTTTTTGTTTTTAGATAATTTTATGTACGATTGGTTGATTTCTATACATCTTTTATTCCGTTCGTTTGTACGCGGTACCGTTATCGTTTTGGTCATCATGGTGTGCGTTTGTGGTTTTTTTTCTGATTTCATCTTCTCGGCGTCGTTTCTGTACGTCTATTTCACGTTCTGCGTACACGTTCTTCGTCGCTATGATTTTTTCAAGAAACTCGTCTTGTTCCGATTTACCTTTTAATTTTATAAAGTTGTTGTACTGCGTCCGGATATTGTGTTTTATAATAGCTGCGCGTTCCTTGTCGATTTGATACGCTTCGTAATCGTACACGTTACGTTTGTACGGTACGTAATTTCCAATACGATTCACCGAAAACTTGTTGGTTTTGGGTACTATATTATCTTTGTACATTGACTGTGCGACGTCGTATTGTAACAGATCCCGATTCAGCAATTCGTTTATGGCGTCGGTTATTTTAAAAACATCGGTGCCGATGATGTACGGTATCCGTGTCGTAGTGATGTTTTCAGCGTAAAGCGACATATAATGTTTCGTTATGTAATCATTAGAGACATCCAAACACGTTTCGTAAAATTCGTCGCGCATCACGTGCACCGCACCGGCGTTTTGACCCACGCACTGTATATCGCGTTCTGTATTTAAAATAAATAAATTTTTCCTAGTGTTCCATAACGTCCAACCGAACGGTTCAACAACAATTAAACGATCGCAATGTTTTTGCGACGATTTGTCGTATATGATGAACTCGCACTGTTTGAATTCACTGTCGCGCACGGCAGAGTTTACAATAGCGTGATCTTCGGTTTTTTGTCTAATCCTTACCAGATACAGCAACACGAATACCGTAAACAATATTGCGATGAACATGATACGCGTAGCGTTTAACGGCGAAGATTTCGGCGTCATGACGGTATGCAAATTCGCGCATGTTTTAAAATACAAACTACATATATAACGTAGATACCGATCCTATAATCGGTCAGTGTTTATTGTGCGGCTGGTGAATACGCATGCACATGTACGTAATTTGAACGAAAAAAAATCACGCGTGCTTAAAATGAGTAATTTATTAATTGCGACGTGTTCGGTTACGAAAAAATTGGAAATTGATTTTTTAAAAAAACACCATTTCAGGACGTACGAACCCGAAAACGATTTGAATTGTGAACCGTTTGTTCTTTATTCTCAGTCCACAAATCGGTATTATGTTAAATACGACGAAAATTCGATTACGTGTCGTGATTTACAAACCGCGTTCCGCGATAATGGTCACGGATTGTCCGTGGCTTACGAACTATCGTTTGTGCGTCCGTTTGCTTTGGATTTGGATTGTATGTCGTGTCACGGAAATCATACTGATGTGCATTTGAGCGAGTACAAAGTGCACGAACTGTGCAAAGAAGTCGAATCGTATTTAAAGAAAATAGACAAACGAGCTATTGTGTCTCTGTGGAATTTGAATTGCGGTTATCATTTATATTCCGATATAATGGTGTCGATTTCGGTTCAAGAAAACATAATCAATTGTATCAATTCAAAATACGCCGATGATATTGAAATAATGATAGATATTCCAAAATTCATGCCGTTACCGTATTCCGCTAAAACTCCGGGAAAACTGTATAAACAAACCATGCAAAACGAAGCGGATCTCGACGCTTTGGTAGTGTTCGCGGGTAGCGTTCGGTACGCGTATTACGACAATTGCACGCTGTCGACGATTCGGGTGAACGATAATTGTATTGTTCTTAACACTATTGACGTTGGTAAAAAATATCTTACACTTCATTCAGAAATCACCAAACGTCAAAACAGTATATTAAATTTTAAAGACGTTCTATCGATAACGGTCGACAATGGTGTTTATAAAAACCAACACACCGGTTTATGCACGTATATAAATAACATTATACATTCGACGTGCGAGTTGGCAACGTCGATATCTCGGCGAGTGTTGCCGAACACAATATCAACAGAATCTGTCGAAACCGGCGTCGTTGTGAATTATGCCAGATTGAACGATGACCCGACGTTTATAAACACGGTGTTCGTGTTTCAAAATCAATTGGACGAACACCTGTTACAATTCAACACACTATTTTTCGCGGACCGCAATCCAGTAACCGTTTTAGATCCGGCGACTCGATTGATAGCGCCGGGCGTTTTCGACAAATACGTATATTATAGTGCGATACATTGCGGCGGATTGAATATTCAACATTACGTTGTGGCGTTACAAAAAACACTGAGAACTGTGAATAGCAAAGAATTTTATCATTTTATACGTGCGCTATACGCCGACGTCGTAGATCCGAGCGTTCGACATTTCGTAGCGACGTACGACATGATCATGGAACAGATGTACGTTCACGATCCATCGACAACGTTGGCGTACCTTCGATTGTTTGTAATCGAAAAAATCACAGTGGACATGAACACTACCGATATATTCGATTTGTTGGCTTGTAACCGATTGGGTGTAAATTCACCAGAAGCGTTTGTAGAAATGTATAGTTCTAAAATGTTAAAGGTACAAAAAATGTATATAGATAAATTCATGAACATTATGGTCGATATTTGTCGAGAATGTCATTTTTTAGAATATTTCAATCATCATTTGTACATACTCGAAGACAATATGTTTCATTACGAAACGCTGGAACGTGTGTCTTTTTTAACCAATTGGTTCAACAAAGACATAAAAGATGTAATAGTAAAAGATTTTTTAAAATCCAAAGCTTCCAAATTTAAAGTAACGAGGTTTTGTGAAAGCAACGAATTTATGATAGCCACGTCGGTCGGAATGTTCAACACAATTACCGGTCTGTATTCATCGAAAACGCCTTTGGTCAAATTTAATAAAGGTTTGTTTTCATCGGTATGGCCAATGGGACGTCCTCTGAAAGCGTACAACGAACAGAATTTAGATATTTTGCGAATACGGGAAACCGTGAACCGTGTAGTGCTCACGATACGAAATAATACGGACATGTTGTTTGTGGAATTGTTGTTGAAACCCGCGATGCTGAGCATCCGACATGTGTGGAATATCACGAACATCAAGGAATTTTTGGAAAAAATAGAACACCGTAAAACTCTGCCGAATGTAAACGATATAATTGAATATTTACCGTTCGACCGTCAATTTGTTGTTTACCTATTGGAATTGTTATCGTCAAACGGGTTGACGATTTTATGCAATTATCATAAACTCTGTCAAACCGTGTTTGTGCACAAAAAAAATGTGTTGCCCAAGGATTGGCTTCAGCATTTCGGTCAGGTCTTCAGATTGCCGTACAAACCGAACGACGAAAATGGCGATTTGTTTTCATGTAACGATCCCGCCGCTTCGTACTACGATCGGTTGTCAAGTTTCAATTGTAAATACGCTACGTTTGAAAACATTGACCAACGGACGGCAACAGTAGGGATAATTTTAGCGGCTTCGATATTGAAATGTCGATCGTTTGCGACGTTGTGCGAAGCTTTTGGTATTGTTAATATGCCCAAACCGTCTGATCATTATAAAAATCTAAACAATTTCAATATGAAAATAAAATCGGTGCCGAATATCAAAAGTTACGGACACATTTATAATAAAGTCATTGAAAGTTTAATGATCGACAAGACTGACGAATTTGAAAAAAAATTATACATAATGGGGTTGCAAATCTGCATGTCTACCAATTTCAAAGAGGCCGCCACACGTGAAGCGTTGAACATTTACAGTACACTCATGGTTCCCGTAAACGTCCGTAAAAAAGTTTTCGTTGTTTACGGAGAGCAGAGCACCGGTAAAAGTCACGTTCTTAACATTTGTACGGATATGATGCATCCGTCCGGGGACTCGTTGAACGATTTGGAAGAAGCGCAAACGCGTTCGGGCCTATCGTCTAAAAAATTATTTATACGTTGTAACGAATTGAAAACGCTGAATCCGTCGCTCATAAAAAGCATAACGGGCAACGATCCGTCGTCAATGAAACAATTTTATACACAAAAATACGAGCTGCCGTTGAGCGGGCAAGCCATCGTGTTTGCGGCGACAAACGTGCATGTCGAATTTAAAGAATTTAAATCGCAAGCGTCCATAGATCGTGCAGTGGTTGATAGATTTCATACGATACAATTGCGCGGTCATCAAATACACGAACAGTCTAAAAACTCGTACGCAGACAGTATGTTTGCCATGATAGCTTCGGATCAATATTTCATATCCACGACTACGTTGAGCTTGAAAGACGCTTCGAATACGATGCGGTGGTTGATTTACGAAAACTATATGATTACGCGTAACAAAGAAAATTATAAACCTTACATAGATGTGGATTTCGAAGATTCCGTAAACTATCGAAACATGGTTTACAGAAATAATAGCGCCGTTTACGATTTTTTAAGTCAATGCGGCATTTGCGAAGAATCGGGTTTTTATATAATGAGCAAGACTTTATTGCGAATAGTTTCACGAGATTTCGCTAACAAAGACACCAGTACCGGTGGTTCTTTGGTTCTAAAAGCCGGAGGTGCCGTGAATTCGGCGAGAGTTACCATGCACGAAAAAATTTTCTACAAAATATTCAAAGCACATTACAATATAGACATATCGACAAAACTAAATATAAAAATTCCCGATTTACAAGTAGAAGATTTTGTGTTGAATGTCAAGGAAAATTTGAAAACCGAGCAACACGAAGATTATGTGCTTTTGGAAAAAGAACTAACGCGTCGATTAGACTATTTGTATATGCGCGGCGTGGAAAGAAATAACGCACTAGTGTACTTTAAACGTATAAACGGTCCCATGCGAAGATTAATAAGACATGTCAACGGTACGGACGACGATAACGATTCAAAAAATTGGTGTTGCGACGACGACGACGACGAATACAACGACGATAGTGATACAGATACCGTTTTTGGTATCAAAGGCGTACGTTTCGTTAATCCCATGATCGACGATCATGGTGGCGTTGATCGTGGAGATTACAACGACGACGATGATGATGGCGGGGACGGTAACGGTTTTGTAAATGAAACGAGTTCTAGTGACGACGATGAAGCGAATCTCGAAAGCGACCATTCCGACGGGATTCGACGTCGGCGATCGCAGACGCCGGTGTTTCCGAAAAAACGAAAAAATGCAGATTGTTCAGTAAACAAAAAACGAAAAAGGAATAACGCAGACGAAGGTGGTGATGGCATTTATGCGGATACCGATTACGACGATAGTACGAGCACATCGAATCATAGCTTTATTAATGTAAATAAAATTTTAAAAGATACGATATGAAAAATAATAAAAATGTTCTGTATATATGTATATATATGTACAATATGTAGTTTTTTACTAAATAAATTGTTTAAATATGTTAAATATATGATTGTGTATTTCATCTTCTAAAGTAGTAAATTTCAAAAACGTAATTATCGGCAATTCTTTTTTTAAGATTGATCGAAAATCATGAATAGTAGATCGCAATGTGTGTAAATCGTCGATGGATCGCATCATTATATTGTATTTGGTAAAATGATGAATGTAACACTGCAATTCTTGTTTGAATACTTCGGGACTCTGGTCGATTGCGATATTTAATAATTCGTAAAACGTTAACGAATCGTCGGTACACATTTTTTTAATTAATTTTTATCGATTTGTTGTTTTATTTTTGACAACGCTCGGTATTCTTTTAATTTGTTTTTATCGATCTGTATGTTAGCATCACCGTCGGTGTATTTTAATTTTTGATTGTTTTCATTTATCGCAACACTATTATAACGTGTACCAATATTATAAACATCGGATTCACAATATCTAATTAAGTAAGACAACATTACAATCATCGCTATTATTAAACATAAATACAATATTACGGTGTTCAGACCAAACAGTACCGTCACCAATAGAATCGATATCAATACCAGTTTGAACGCGTTGAACATTTGGTACTTGGACATTTGTGTGCATTTTTTTAGTAACACGTCTATTACAGAACTCACACGTGAAAGTAATACGTGCGAATCGTCAGAATCCATTGTAGTACGAGTATACTATAATAAAACGTCGTACGGATTTATAAAAGCTCGGCATTCGGGGTATGTCAACAATTCCGGACCGAGATCCGCAGTCGTATCGTCGGAACTGTTGCTAATACTATGTATATCGAACAATATGGGTTTCGTTGTAAATTTTTCCGCAACCGGTGTTTCGTTAAACATGACGGTGGCTTTTCGTTTCACTTTCGATCCGTCGGTTTTTTTTTCAACCGACGACCGTTTACCCATACACTCTGAGGACTCTGTACCGCATCCCATTTCGGATACATTAAAGCTAATATTAGATAGAGTACGGTCAACGTAGACACCAGTGCTCCGATCACGTTTAAAATTAGATATAATTTCATCGTTGAGGCTGTTTAATAATAACACAAGATCCATTCATCGGTTTTAATAGTTTTTATTTTTCCGTAAACGTACAATATGCAATATATTTTGATTCGGTATTTCATAAATAGAATACGCGACAATCACTATTTTACGTTTATGCAAAAGTACCGGACCCGACAACAGTTGAGCGATCGCGTTGTCTATACGTGGTACTGAACCGGGTATGTGTGTCGACAGTTGTTCGTGATCCCAAGCAGTAGGCGCGTACGCAAACAGAGCCGGATCATTTTTATAAATATACTTTTCTATCTGAAACGTAAAATTTAATCAAACGCACGTAACAAAATTGTAAAAAAAAGTTCAATACTTTTGGATGAGTTTCACGCAGTTTCCAATGACGTTCTAGTGCGCTTTGCATCGTTGTCGTTCGATTTCAATAACGACGCCAGCCACGTACGGGTTTCCAACGGTACTCGTTGATCGTTGCGCGGAAACAACACTTTTAAAACTTCGCGTTCCCAAGCCGACGTCTGATATTTATACCGACGTTTCAGATCGGCGACTTGGCGTTGCGGTTTTGCCGCAACGCTGCCGTTTTTAGTATTCAATTCGTAGGTCGAGTGTCGCAGTAACAGGTGCTTGTTGCATAAAACAATTTCGCCCAATCCGTCGGTAACCACGTGCCGGTGTATCATGTCCAGAGCCGAATTATTGTTTTTTGGAAAATATTCGCCGTGTTCGGTCAATCGACAAAATATGGTCTTAAACAATCGTCTTACGAATTCTTTATCGTACCGTTTACTGCATTTGTCGAACGCACAAATCATGGGCATTTGCATGGGTCGCGTGGTCAACGGTTCCCAAAATTCGTTGTTGGCTTGCATTCCGTTTGTTATGCTCAAACACAACGGCGGACGATTATATTCGCGCAACGCGTATTCGGAGCATCCGGTTTTAATAGGTATTATATGATATTGTATACTGTTCACGTACGACATGTAACAGTCGGCACTCGTGTGTATGTGACACGGCCATCGGCTCACCGTCGATTCGTTTATAGGATCGGAATAAACGGCGATTTCTGACATTTGCGATTCGATTCTCCGTCGTGCCGATATCATGAGCCGCGATCACATCGAAAAACTGTATTGCGTGTTATTAGACGAAAATTCATCCAATGTGACCGATCTACCTTTATGGAATTATTTGCTACCGAAAGCCACGGTAAACGTCGTTTACATGCACGCGACAAAACCCATCGAACTGGTATACCGAGAACCGGTAAATATTTTTTTGTATATTTGTTACATATATGTAGTAATCGTGTTTCAAATATTTTGATACTCTAGACCACCGTGTGCGGTATACCCGACGCTACGGACGTTACGAAAAGCGTGGTGTCGGCAGAATCAATTCGAAACACAATCGCCGTATCTATTTGGCGTATACCGATAAAAGAATATCGTTTAATAAATTTTAAAAAACGATTGAACGACAATCGCGACATCAAGCGTATATTCGATTTGTTGTTAAAATATAAAGTATTATATTTTACGGACATTACCATAAACTACTTGAACAAATTTTATAATGTCAACCGCATATGGAACCGCTCGTTTAGGCGGTATGGTACAAGAATGCGACAAAATCGGCAAACCTTTGAAACTATCGATGATCGTGTTGCTGATCCTAAGCGCAATGTTAACGATATTATTAATCGCAATCACGTTGTATAATCGATACAAATTAATCGACGCCAACAAACCGGATCCCGAAAAACAAAAAGACATAGATTCAAAGAAAAAATACGTAGACATCGGGACGTACGTGTCTATCGGTCTTTCGATGTTGATGCTGGGCACTACGTTTTACGCACTGCCGAACGTAAACAAAGTGTTATCGTGCCCAGCGCAATAATTGTTTAAATACGTTTATTTTCTTCGCGTATACGTTAGTCTGACGTGCGCATAGAATCGAATCGAACGCACACACACGTGCATTATGGAAACAATAACGTACGAACGCGAAAGCACGCTTAAGATACCGATATCCGTGGATTTTTTTGACAAAATTTATAGATTTTCATCGATCCCGGATCCGATGTTATCCGTTTGTTCGTGCGTCGAAAACATACGATCGTTGATTTGTGGTTTTTGTAAATCAAAAATCGGCAATGCTGCTACTGACAACCACGACGACATATACGATATACGAAAAACGGTTATATTGATTTTTGACGATGGTACGCGTTTAGCTTCTAGGGTTTATCAATCGAAAAAAACTGAATCTAAAACGTATGTGGCCACGTTTATTGACGGTAAATTCTATCCAATATCACGCACCCGGTCTGTTGAAACGTTGGAAAAATTACCGGCATCTGTCAGATCGGCACCGTCGATAGTGAAATCGATTTATCGTATAATTTTTACGCGACGCGCAATTGTGCTGCCCGACGGTGTATCGATAAGGTTTTCGTTCAACAAAGAAGAAGATGCGGTGCACGGAGTGTATTACAACATGGCCTGTGAAACGGAATATCCCACGGGCACCACGTACGACGAAATGACTGAAAACGAAAATCGAATGTTTCGAGAATATCACGATTTTATAAAACTGGCGGAAATGCCCATGGACTCGCAAACGTTAAACGATTTGTTTGCTAGTGTCGTGCCCAAAGTACAAATGTGGTCGTGTTTTAATCCCGGTATACCGTACAAATGGGCGTATAAATGGAACGGCGTTAAAGCCAAATTCATGGTCAAAACCGATCGCATAATTTTGTGGCCCGACGCCAGCTCCGTCCGTACGCTACGGTACGACGGTGATTTGAGCCTAATCGATAAAATCATATTTCAAGTGGAACTGATGCCGAATTGCGTTGTACTCATACACGCCATATCGGTATCGTTTTTCAATAAAATCTACAGCATCGAACCGTATACGGGTATCGATGTTTTAAATTTTTTACACGACAAATTCAACGATGTATCAATAATTGACGAACAAAATGATTTGCGTATGCCGTTATTGGTGCAGAGGTTCTACGACGATCGGCCGTATCCCAAATCGTTTCCGTCCGACGTTTACGATGGATTCGTATTGGCTCAACAATCGCTGTACATTAAATGGAAGCAACCGACAATAGACGTGGAGTACTTGGGTCACAATACGTTCAAAGTGGGCGACTATAAAAATCCAATACTGTTCAAATTGGACGAACGCGAACGCGCCGACGAGGTTTGCGTAGAAAACAACATATACGAATTATCGTCGAAATTGTCTTTGTTACGTAGACGTATAGATAGGTTGTTGTGTAGCACTACCAAAGAATACGAACTTTTTGTAAAAAGTGTAAAATTGTTAAACGATAATACTAATAAACAATGAATTTTGATATACCGACAATGCGTTCTTATTTCGATGAAAGCGTGTTCCTAGACGGTTGGGCGTTTAAGAATTTAAACGACACTCGACCCGTATCCGTGTTTAACAGAGCCGACGATTTTATTTTAAAAAACCTGCACGGCGTATCGACCGTAGAAACTTGTCAGATCGGCGAAAACACGTGTTCATTAAATCCCGCCAACCCGTGTGCCCGTATAAATATTTACAGTTTAGACAACCGACATTCTAATAACAACGTAGTATACACACATTCACCGCTTAACGTTATACACGATAGCGCTACGGACGAAAAAACAATACGAACGGTAGACTTTGAATTATCACCTAACGTCGGAGACATTGTTTTCGATTCAAACGATGACCTAACCGCTTTGGAATCGGCCATCATGTTGAAATTATATTCTATGCGATTGTCCAATAACGGTGGTGTTTACGATAAACCGTCGCAACGATTGAACATAACGTCGACTCTGTATCATAAAATCGCCGTATGGTTTGAATTTGACGTGCGTCAGTGGTTCACGTTCAATCGAACCGATTTACTAATACGTACGTTCGACGGTCAATATCGTTACAACGGTAGAATCGTAAACGGCCCGATACCGATACCCGATGGATTTTACGAAAATCCTTTATAAAAAATCATTGTTCGAGCACTTCGTATTGATTGTTTACGAAATTAAATTTAAAAGTATATGTTTTTTCGTTTAAGTTTATAGTTTTCGCGAGATATTCTTCTCTCGCGTCTGTAGGCACAAAGACTTTAGGATTTTTTGCGTCGTATAATACAAAATAATTGGGACCTTGTTCTATAGTGATGTTTGTACCCGGAAACATTTTATTACTCGCGAGCAAGCGGTCCGGTTCTGACGATACGACGTAACTTGACATGTTTGTGTTTAGATCGTAATAGGTAATCACAAGGTTCTTGGATTTGTTGGGTATGGGTACGGATTCGCTGTTGCACGTGATATATTCTAAATCCACAGTCGATACGTTATCAATTTGTATGTATATGGTTATTGTATTTAACGTCGAATCGATTATTATCACTTCTATAGCTTGATACTTTTCGAACTGCTCTATAGCATATTCCTGATACAGTATTCCGTAATTTTTGTATCGCATCACGTACGATATAGCCGTTGTGGGCGTAAACGCTTGAGTTACGTTATCTTTAGCGAACACGTGCATTTGACTGTCGACGTGATTCACCTTTTTGTATATGATACCGGGTATCGGATAAGTCAACAATTTAGGAGTTTCTCCACGTTTGTGCACGCGTCGATACTGAACCCAATACTTGGACATGTTTGGGTACTTAGTGTCCATTTCGAAATAAGCCATGTTCACGTCTTGTCCGCGAGCACTAAATTGATAGTTTTCCGTGTTGTACCGTATAAATTTAGAAAAGGGCAATATCTCTATACCGTACGAAGCTTGCGTGTTGATCAACGCTTCGTTGGTGTTTGTCCGCCAATAGACGCCGACCAGACCTAGCTTTATAACGGGGTGCGTTATTTTTTTCATGACTAATTCGCAAACGTCCAACAGCGTGGTTTGGTTAGTCAATGACGTGTCCATATAAAAGTAATATACGTTGCGTTCGTTGATCAATTCTCGGAATTCCATGTACGTGAACACCGGGATGTTGTTATTCATTTTGAAAACCGATCCGTCCATGTGCAGACCTTCGCCAAACGGGATATTCGAAATTTTAGCGATCATCGCGTCTCTAGCTGTACGATAATCGTCGTTGGATACGGCCATACTTAACCAACCTTTCACGTGATTGGCCAAAAGCCAAGGACCCAATAACGCGGACGCGTACGGTTTGCGATTTTTGCCCAACGAGACGATCGGAGTTTTGATGATTTTCAATACAATATCGGCTACGTTTGTTTTATAAGACGCCGATTCCAATAACATGTAATGAGCTAAAAACGAGCACAGGTCACCGGAGAACAAATACCAATTGCTACCCCACGGTTCTGTGTTGTAATCTTTAACGTTGTTGAATTTCAATATCAATCGATTCACGAAATCATCTATTTTAGATTTCGCGTCGTTTTCGTCGTCGTACGGATACGGGTTCGGTTTTCGAGAACTCTCGACTAACGTGTGCACGTATCTTACAGCAGTGTGCATCATAACGCACATGTTTTGAAAATCTGATTCATCTGCGTCCCACTTGGGAAACACGCCGGTCGTGCTCTCCGATTCTTTTGTCGTCGACAGTACGTAATTTTTTAATTCTAAAGGTAACGCGTCTGTTTTAGTTATATACCTGCGGGCTCGGTTTATATTCAAATAATCGACCATGTTTTCGGGGATCTCTATTTGTTTGGGCGGATTGAACGTTAACGTTTCTAAATTGACGATATTACCGACAACGCTAGCCGGCATCGTTTTACCTATCCGCGCGGAAACCGGTTTTTTTGACGGATCTTCCGATTTTTCTACAACGATTATGGTTTCAATTGTTTCTTTAGATTCTTTATTGTAAAAACTAAACGTTCCGATGACGACCACCACGAACAACATTATACCTAATAGTATTACAAAAACTGATTTAGACGAAGCCA